AGGTAAATTAAATAGTAAAAAAAGTTCCCCTCCATGACAAAGACGCACTACATCATCACTCTGTACTGACAGAATTTCACTGGTTTCTTTATTATTATTATTAAACCACCTAGTTTAATATTTGACAAAATAAAACATGATAAACGCTGTTTTCAAGAAACTCAGTTTGATAAACGAAGAGCAGAAAATCAGTGACTTACTTTTCCTTTGTCTCTGTAGTGAAATGTGTCCACCACATGAGTGATTATCACCTTCACCTGGATCCCACTAATTAAACACTGTCTGCGCCATTTCTCTCTCTCTCTCTCTCCCTCTCTCTCTTTCTCTCTGTTTGAATGCTCTCAACCATTTGAACACAGTCACAATTATATTCACCGTGTTAGTGAGTATAATTGATAGTTCAGAGGGTCCAGCTAATAAAACAAAGCCACAGTTAAAGACATGTAAATTGAAGAAAGACAATGTGGACATCATGTGGACACAAAAGGAAGTGCATCAGTTCAGACTTCAGGAAGGAGACTGCCTCCTCCTCGTGTCTACTTCCTTTCATTGCTTTGGACAGTGGTGCAAGAAGGATTCTTAATTCAGAGAGGTCCTTTAAAATGTTCTTCTTATTTTGCAGAATGATCAGTTTCTGCACAAGGTTCATACAAACTCCTGGGATGAAGAAATGGAAGCGGTACTCAAGTACTTATATGTACTAAAAAATATGGAAACATTAAAGTACAGTCTTCTACTTTAATGTTTCCACTCAAGTACTTATACATATACGATGTGCCATTTAAAAAAAGTGCAAATTAAGTGTGGTGTCCAAACTTTCTAAGTTGTGTCTTCTTGCAAACTGTAAGAAGTATAATGAATTATTTACTGATTGAGACCTAAAGAGGTCAAATGATCTAATCAAAAAATCAAAAGACTGGAGGAAAACTCACAACAAATTTCCTCTTTTTACCAAACCCAATAATCATCATCAGGACCACCCAGGTGTATTTTGTGGTTGGGGCTTGAACTCTCAGTTGAGAGCCATTGAATTAACTAAACTGTCGATAAAGTAAATCTACCTCCACCTTGACCAAGGACAGCAGAAAAGCACTGTTTATACACTGAGGCATCCGTATTAAGAATTTAATAGACATAAATGTAATATCATATATTATATAATTAAAAATCAGTCACAGAACACACACTTTTATTTTTTATACTTAAATTAAGTAAAAAAGTAAGTAAAAATTTTAACTAATTTCATAATTACTGTGTAAGTAGGATTTTGAATGCAGGACTTAAATTTGTACTGGAGAGTTTTTAAATTGTCGTATTGCTTCTGAAACAAACAGGCTCTTGGACATGAAAGCACATTTCTGCTGTTGCATTAATGTGTTAAACTGTCTAAACTTGTCAGAAGTATTTTGATATAAATATTATTATTGTCAAAGAGGTAACACTTCAACTCATTTGTTTTGTGTTTAGTAAAAACTATGTGCGGAACTCACAACTGAGAAGACTAAATAAAGATTGTGGCCTCTCAGGGAATATACTCATTACAGAAACTGCGTCAGAGGCCTGAGAAAACCCTTTTAGGCTTCCTTAAGTAGAATAATATAATAAAACATTATTCTCATAACCGTGTAAACAAGTTCCTCAATGTTAGCTGGGGCGACAGTGAAACTGAATATTTGCTGGATCATTTTTTAGTGGTCTTATTGAATTATATATTGTCTTCTAATCATAATACTATTGGTATCCTCTAGGTTTTCTTATTATCTTCATTTGGACACATTTGACTCATGTGAGCCACGATAGCTTTGAGCGATGCATGGATTACGTGGAGGTCATGCAGTGTAAGACAGAACACACTCCAATGTAAATCAGATGAGCAGTTTATTTGCTGCTGCACATTCATGCTCGCTGCAGGAGCGCAGATGAATCATGCCACAGATACTAGCAGATAACGCATCAGACCTAAAATGGCTGCAACTTGTTTGCCAAATTTATCAAGTGCTACGTGAACAAAGGTTTATAGAAAAGGGTCTGTTGCTCCCTCAGAGGTCAATATCCTGTGTTGCTCATTGTCCCATTATCACACATCAGACCCCACGGTGGCTGACGCAGGCTCATTTGGCTTGGACCCATTCATTTGTGCTTTTACGGCTTGCTGATGCTTGTAATTATACTAAGCGTGCACGGTGAAATGAATTTAGACTTGAGAAGAAAAATACTGATCATCACATTGGATTTAATTGAACAACCTTTTCTTTGTACACATGCAAACACAAGAAGCAGATTTGAGAAGCTGATCACACTGTGTGACCCACGGCTGAGTCATCTGAGACAAAAGACCAGCTTTATGTTGTATTGTGTGACACTGTTTGCAGAGTCCTCTTGTGTGACTTTGTTTTACATCCTGCTTTCTAGTTATTATTACTTCCAGAGTCAGTCCATGGAGTGTTTTATAATGAGCTGATATAGTAAAGAATTGAATACGAGTATAAAAGTAAGCAGATCTAAGCTCTAAAGGACAGATACTGACCATGATGCTTGTTTTCACCTGAACTAACTCTGTTTCTAAGCAGGTGTCTGAGCCTCTACGTGCTGCAAGGTGAGAATTTCTCCATCAAGACCTCTCCCATGCAGGGGCTCTTCATTTCCTCTTGCCTATTCGTGCCATGAGTTCTGCATTGGCCGCAGCCTTGGTCCTCATGTCCTGGTTCTTGGCCAGGTCTATGAGGACGCTGAGGATGCTGGTGGGGACGTCGAGAGACAGGGCGAAGCGGGACCCCTGCTGGGCTCTCTTGGGCACCTGGGAGGCCGGGCGCGGGGCTCGTGCTCGCCTCAGCACCATGTGATGCTCTGACCGCAGCAGCGACTTCAGCACCCCGCTGCGGTTGAGGATGTCGACGGCCAGCACGTCCCTCTGCGTGTCTTCATCCAGTTTGGAGGGACTCTGACTCTGGACGCACCACGGCAGCAGCAGTGCCAGGCACAGACACACACGCACGCTCCTCATGGTCAGAGCTGTGTGCAGGGAGAGAAGGAGAACACGTCGACCATGCAGTTAACTCACAGTTACACAAGCATGGCACTGGGAAGACTCACTCAGAGATGGCATGCATCAGGAATGTCCTCATTCAAAATAATCTGACAAAAAAAAACTATTGGAAATGATCTTTCATTGTTGACTTCACATCAAAAACACACTTTAGCCATAAATGAGGAAGGAGGTGAGAATCTACCAGGTTTTAAAGATTGGATTTGTGCACAGTGGGATGCAACACCAGAGTAAAATAATATAAAAGTGAAATAATGGCGTCCATCAGTAATATCCAACCAACATTTACACTTCACTCACTTCGACCTGTAACAGAGATAAACGTATCCACTGTTCAGCGGCTGGTTTATTGTATATTAAGTTTGGTTAAGCACCAAAACATATAACTTTTAAATGTCAAGAAGAAAACATATAAACTCATCATTTCCAGCCATTTGTCATATAAATCATCTGACTCTGTAATATCTCATTGTTTTCTGATTGATGTGCAGCTGAACCTCTGTCAGTCAAATGCCATAATCCCAGTCTATACTCACTCAGTGTGAAACGTTGGTACTTGTCCCTCCTCTGGACTGAAGCAGGGCTCTGCTGATGATCTCTTGTCTTTGACCCTCAGATGTCCTGATGCTGGATCTTCTGTCTCTTCTCCCTCTTGAGCTACTGGAGAGATGACCCGTGCAGCACGCTGTCAGATGTTGAACTGGACTCCTGGCTGCTCGTCCACGACTTTGTCTTCACCCACATGAGCCTTCGTTGTGACACTGCCCCTTCCACTCTCTGTTCTTTATCTGTTACATCTCTGCACCCCATCGCCCTCCCCTCATTTCATCTCATTTCCTCCACACTTATTGCGTCTTTCTCTTTCTATAAATAACACAATGACAATCACATTAGTTTGCCTGTAATGAATTGGATATTTGCCTCAGGGTGCTCTCAAAGTACAAGTGTAACCCACCACCTCAGTCAGAAGTTAAGTACCAGCAAACACTGAAATACAATGTGCCTCTGATGCTCATCAAACATCCTGGTGATGACTTCATGTGTTGTCAGTCACACAGACAGGGTGTTAGGATTAGCAGTAACTATAGTCAAGTCATAAATCATAGAGTTTGTCTTCATTTTTAAAGTAGTTTGGTTATTATTGAGGTTATTGAGACGTTCAGAGCAGTTAAAACCAGTGCTGTTGTGTCAGGCTCTGAAGCCGTGGCTGTGTATATTATCACAATGTATCTTAGATCATAGGCTAGTAGGCCAACTATGTGAAGTTTTGGACAAATTATTCTTTAACAAACCAAAAATCCTGAACTCTAGGTTCTCTATCTTCTAGTTTTAGTCTCTACGTGATTTCCTTGAAGTGCCTATGTGTGTATACTGTATTGTATCTTTCGGTTAGTGCATGTTTTTATTTTCAGATCAAATGTTTAAGATTTCTTCTCTTTTTAGTTTATACAGCACATTCAAAATAACCTCGTGTCTATTTGTGTCACTATATCTCTATGGTGAGACAGATATCTCATTACACTGTATCCAGTGTGTGTGTGGTTTCTAACTGAGTTCTGTAAGATTTCACTTTGTGTGAATGTGCACATTGGTTTGCTCTGGATGAGAAAGAGGAGCACATAAGCTCCATACAGTTAACAGGATGACTGATAGGTAATATAACGGTCAGCTTATGGTGCAGTTACAGGACAGTGAGTCACAGCTGCAAAGACACAGAGGGATGCAGTCACTGGACAATTTCTGTGACCACCTGACTTCCGCTGCTTTTCTTCATCAGTATCCATGAACAAACACACAGCTCGCTGAAAGAAAAAAATCATTGTCATCATCAGTGCAGATGAAACACTACAGACAGAGAGTCATGGTGTGGGTTACTTTTACTGTATCACAACTTTAATGAGACTGGGTGCTGATGGGATACTGCAGAGCTACATTAATATTTCATGCATACACGGTTTCCTTTACTGAGACTGCATACTCACAAAAAAACAGAACATTTATCATTAAGTCATCAGCCCTCAGGCAAAACATCAGGACCTAAAACAAGCAGCCTACATCACAAACTTTAGAAAAAGCAGTTCTACACAACATCACACTGTGACAGTGATTCACTACAGAGTGCATTTATTTTGGAGCAGTGGCCACTAACTGTGGTGTCATTAATTAGAAATCTCAGACGCAAGAGAATCCTAATAATCACGCAGAATAAAAGCAAGACAAAATTGTTCCCTTGGTTGTTGAAATGATTGGTTTGATTGAACATGTAATAATCAGTATAATCACTTTTTAATGAAGTCAACTTCTCACATCTGATCTTGTGCACGACAGCCATCACAGCTATGTACATTCCTCTCCTCTCCTTGCAATGTATGACATGTTCAATACAAACTGTGGACTGTTGCCACTTAAAGGGACATATTTTATGATGTTCTATTTACAGAACAGAGGGGGAGAGGCTGGCAGTGTTGGGAGGACAGACTGAGAGAAAGCCCTCTGGAGAGCAACAAGGAGGAAGAGGCTGTCAGGCTCAGGAGGGACACTCATCGAGACAAGGCCTAGCTCGTTCCCTGAATCACCTCCAGTCCAGCCCATCATGGGATTTATCTTCATCTGAGTAATGATATGAATATTATGAGTGCAGCCTGATTACGATAGCTGGGCCCTCGGGGGCCCTCAGGATTACGAGCCATCTCAGTTACCCTCAGATAAACAAACACGGGTCACACAGATGTCATCCAGCAGCAAACAAGAGATGTCCTGGGTCGTACCTGTAGCGCTACCGCCGCAGTAACGGCGTGACGCAGGACTGCACATCAGTGTGAGATGATGTCATCTCTATGATTCAGCATATCACAACAGGTCCGGATTTGATCACTTAAGCCAACTGATGATGTAAACTCTGTATACAGTAAACTTCATGTATCATGAAGTACTTCAGTCAGTCACATCAACCCAACTGTGTTTTTTACATGTACATTCTGAATATACAGAAAAAAACACCATTCTAAGAAAAGAGAAAATCCACAGGAGACTTCCAGTGCAGGTGAAAAACAAACAACACAATTTACCCATGACTGATAACTGCACCGAAACATTGATGAGATTTGAACACTAAATATATTGAGACTGACCACAGATACATGTGATACAGGAAGAAACATGTAGGAGCCTGCAAAGATGTTTATATAATTATTGTAATTATAATAATTATTATTGTATTTATGAGTTTAACTGACTATGCATCAAAGTAATGAAATCTGAATCAGTGCAGCGGTTTGTTTGTGTCCAGCTACTCCTCCAAGTCAACTCCTCCATTCCTCTCTGAACTAGCCCTCAGGATCAGGACTGGCACATGCATGTGATCTTTTACATTTTTTTTTCAAAAATTCATCCAGATGTTAGATATATAGTTGAAGTATAAGTATTTCAAGAGTGTCATTACCTCTGCTCTTAAATCTCTACACTGGCTGCCACGAGATAATGGCTGGATGAATACAAAACAACATTGCAGTGAAAGTTTATAAATTTGACATATACGTTTTGTGGATTATTTAAAAAGGCATTACACCACATGCCACTGTACATATTAATGAGACAACATACACTAGATCAGTTTTTTTACAGTATTTTATTTTTGTTGGAATGAGGGCTTCTGTTATGTACAATAGAGGACAGAAACTAATTTTACAGAAATTATAAATATACTCCAAGCTGTATGTATTACCACCTGTACTGTGTCCAGTAGATTATATTTCATATTCATGTCCACCCTCTTCCCCCTCCACTCTGCAAGTCAGAAGCAGGTGACGAGTACCTGTGCTGTAAAATCAAGAGGTAACCAATGTGTATGGTGTGCAAGCTGGCTGCCATCCTCATGGCTGACTACGAGTGCTCAATGGGCAGGATAATAAGGAAGGCGGGGAGAGAGAGGATGGGTGGCTGCCTGTGCTGCTGAGCAGCGTGTGGACCATTCTCAGGTGTTCACTCTCGCAGCGATGATGGGACGAAAGCGAGATGAGGTTTGGGAGGAGGAGGGGTTTCAAACATGGGACACACGGAGCAACAAGACAACACATCTTAAAACCTGAGCCAGTACATGGCACTGCGCATTCTGTTGTAGTCAGGTAGCTGCTCGACAGGGCCTGGAAAAGAGACAAGAGTAGCAGATTATAGAAAATCATCAGAGACCGGCCTCTAATTCTACTGTAAAAAGAACAAACACACAAGGGAACCCACCGACAGCTGCCACAGCAGGACACTTGTCGTACAGGTATTTAGAGCAGATTTCACGAACCATCATGGGGGTCACGGCCTGAAGAGATGGGGAGAAGGTCATAATAAATATTCTAGAGATGGACAAAAAATAGCTTTCTGCTTTAAGTGACAGAACTGTTGTAGCATCTACTTCAGAGTATAAACTCACATCAATGCGAGCGTCCCACTCAGCCAGAGGAATACGCCGGCCGTAGTTCAGGATGTGTCTGCCAATGTCATCACAAATTGGTGTTGTTCCTAAAAGACAAACATATATGTTGATTTGTGATTCCAATGAGTTTTTATTTGTGTTTGTGTAAATGTAAGACAGATGCATTACGCACCATTGAGCTGTCCAACCAGGCTGGCCTTCAGAGCGTTCTTGCCTCTGGCTACATCACTTTCTGTCACCGTGGTGCACAGGTTCATCCTGCACGGAGCAGAGTAAGGAGGAAATAAGACAAACTACAGTTATGGTGTTCTGAGTGTTTGTGTCGGTCCATTACTGACCAGGCGTTCTGGGACCAGTGCATCATGTCCTCGATGTTGTGTCTATCAGTGACAAAGTGAATGCCCAGCAGGCCGGTGTCGCTGTAGGAGGAGTGAAAGGCCTGGAAGCTGTGACAGATCTTATCCTCCACTGCCAGGCGAGCCAGACGGCTGCTCAGATGCTGCACGTGAGAGAGATGAATAGATGCTTATATTCTATTGTTCTTAAAGTGAGATTATACCACAACACAGTCCTGTAAAAGGTCAGAAACACTGAAGCTGAAATGCTTTAAATGTAGGATGTTTATGACTTTGAAAAAACATTAAGTTTTGTGTTCCATCTTCCTTGGCTGTTAAAGTCCTCATCTCTATATTTCAACCTAGGGTAGTAGCGTACATTCCACATACAAAATTGTTGTATATAAAATGCATTTCATATCTGAAACACACTAAACAACATGTAGAACTATTTTACCCAAGGATCAGTGCTCCATCATTAAACTAGTTTTTTGCCATGTTTCTAGGTCTTGTTCCTCCCGACAGGTCCAGAGGCAGGGGTGAGACCCCTGACCCAGGTTTTTAGAGAGATCTGTGATCTACCCCTCTATCATGGCCACTCAAGACACTAACAACCTCGAGTGGGCAAAGCTTAGAGGGGACACTGCTGAACCAAGAGGATGAATTCCGTTCAGGAGGTATATTTGTTACTGATTTCATCACTGTTTTCTTTTTCTGAGCTGCATAAAGTAACAAGCCTTTACAAAGAAGATTTTACACCAACCTTTCCACCACCATAGGTGAGGTCATAGCTGCCGATGACAGAGTTGGCCACCATGAGAGGCACGATGTCTGGGCTGGCAGCACTGGCTCCCTCCACAGCGATGGCAACATGTGCCAGAGGCAGAGCATCGTCACGCACACGGATCTGAGAAGAGTTGGGAGAGGAACACAAATGATCAAGCCAGTAAATTGACGAACACTACCCATGCTCTAT